TTCGGCCCAAAGGATTTCTCTTGCTCCTCGCTGTGACCCAGGACGTAGCCAGCCCTAAGTTGGTGGAGCTTACTGTTGCATGGCGGGTCTAAGGCGAAGCTAGTGTGTCATGCAACTTCACCATCATGTTGCAAACACGACGAGGGCCAAATCTTCGAATGTCGGCAGCGGTGCCGCAGAGCAGAAGCAAGCAGCCACACGCGGAAACGTAGACTTCGAGGCGATCCGGAGGGGTTAGCAGGCACATGGTGCTCCGGAACATAGGGGGGAGGGGGTTGAAATGCAGGCTGCAAGCATAGATAGATCCTCCAAGGCTTTGTTGTCAGGCTCGCTGCATGGCAAACAACATGGTGCAACTAAGGCTGCGTCAAAGAGGACGCGAGAGAGAAGGAGGACCCGAGGGGCTTCCAAGCTCTCGCCGATGCTGCGCTCATGGCCGAGCTGCCCCTCCGGAGGTCGATTGCTTCCGTTCTGGGCAGCACCGTGGCCCAGGCCACACCGATGTGCAAGAGCCGGAGATGACTGGGAGCCCAATGAAAAGGCGGCAACTGCCCAGTCAGCTCCTGCCAGAGATGTCTGTGGCGTCTACGAGTCGGCAGCTAGTTTCAGCTAGTGCTGATGCTATGGAGCGGGGATGAGCCGGCGGGGTCCTGCACGCAAACGGCTGACAGCTGCTGCGGCCGTGCGTGCCCGTTCTCCTGAGACCAGCTGGCCGCGAGGGTCTCGAGGTCGCTGGGCTCGCAGGCCAAGATACTCGCACGACTCACACAGAGCTTCTGCAAGAGCTCAGGGCTTGGGCTCAGGAACATGGCCCCAGCATGTAGCGAGCCGAGGAGTGCCGCAAGGCCACCGACACTGCCGGCTTGAAGGCATGAGAGCACCCTGCCAGTGTGGTCCAAATGGAGCTCCTGACAAGCGCGCAAGAGCCTGGTTCTCGTTCAAAGGAGATGGCACAAATCAAAGCTCCTGCTGCCATCCCAAGACCGCCTGCAGCAGCGCTTCCCCTGACGTCGGTTCTGCTCGCAACCCGTCGCCTTGTATAGGGCTGACACCGTGTTCGCATGCGCCGCCCATGCATCCCTAGGCATCTTATGCGTCATGCCGTGTCAAACTGCCAAGGTGCTCCCTGCGAAAGCGATGCAGCAAGGGCCGGAACCCTTTCGACACCGCCGTTGCCCCGGAGGTGCCGCCGAGGCAACTACGTCCAGCAGCGTACAGCCGACCTGGGCGTGACCACAAGCTACTAGCAGAAGGCGCTGCAAGAAATTCAGAAATGCCTGAAGTCAAAAGGGCTGTACTAGTAAACTAGTAAGGAAAGGAAGCCGACACGCGTGCGAATTGCCAGCCTGGCTGCTTCCGAGGCCAGCAGCCTGCAGTGGCCCTCCAGCCGCATCCACGTTGCATGGTCGGCTTTTGTGGCCAGCAGCAGACTCGGCTTGGCCAAGCGGAGCTGCTCCATGATGGTGCTGCCGCTGCTTCGTGGGTCCATCAGGCAAAATGTGCAGCCCTCTCTGTGCGCAGCAAGTACGGCTGCCATTCTCTCTGGCACGTCCAAGCAGATGGCCACGCATCTGCCCCTCACTGCCTCCATCTTCAAGTT